GGGGGCGGGCAGGGGGTTGTGGTCTGGTAGGTTCGTACTCACGTCATTGACGCGCTTGGCGTGTAGGCTGAGCAGGTCCTCCTGCAGGCGCTGCACGTCCCGCCGCAGCCCCCGGTTCTCCGCCTCCGTGTCCGGGTCGGGGGCGGCGGCGGGCGGCGCGGCGGGGGCGGCCGTCTTGCGACCGAGGGGCGGCGCCTCGTTCAGCAGCCGCTGCCGCTCCTGCTGCAGCCGCCGGTTGGTGGCGCGCGCGTCGGACAGCTCCCTGTTTAGTTTGGCCATCTCCTTTTCCCTGGAAGCAGCAATGAAGAAGCACGGTGAGGTAGCCTAGGGGCGGTCCGTCTGGCCCGGTCAGGAGCAAAATGAAACGACGCTGCGGCGGTAGAGTCGGAAGTCGGCGTGAAGTAAAAAGGGAAAGAGGGGGGATGTTATATATAATATCCAGTGCGCTGCTTTCGCGGTCTTTAACGAGCGGTTCTCAGCGACCAAGCAGGAAGCTGGGGGTAAGCGTTTAACACAGATCAGCACAAAGGACCCGCACGGGAAAAAAAAGTTCGAGATTGATTTGCATTCAGTGACTGCACTAGGTTCGTTTCAAATCTAATTCGGTTCGGCAGCGGCTAGGACCCTGCCAAGGTACATATAAGATTCACACACAGGTCAGATAGAATGCAGTTTCAAGTTGCTCAGGCACATTCCGGACAGTTCTCGGACATAGTTAGGTCTGGTCATAATTAGGATTCAAACACTTCTTGTGCGGTAACAGAACCGAGGGGTGCCCAACTAGGTCTAAACGTATGTACACCAACCGCGCCCAAAAAGAAGGAAGCCCAGGAAGCCCATAGGAAACCCGCATTTTTGTGCACCGGCAGACTAAAGTAGGACACCCTTCGAACCGGACAGGCCGCTAACAGTTTAGACAGATAAGTGTCTGGCTATAGTCTGGGGGCCAGAAATAGGGTGGAGGGCAACGGGAGTATTCAAAGTGGTAGTATATGAGCACCATCAGACCTCCCGGACAGCCTTCAGACATGCGTCGTATTGGCGAGAAAAAAGCCCGCCTGCACACAGAGTAGAACCCCGGACCGCCCCGGACTCGGGATCAGCGCTGCTCGCCTTGCCAACTGAGGCATGCGGGAGGACACGGGACAGGGGGGTTCGCCCGCTCACGGGCCGCCGGCAATCGCAACGAAATAGTTGCTCCGGGAAACATCCTCCCCGTTGTCGTTGTCGTGCACTGAAATTGCAATGACAAACTGTACTCACTTTGTCTGCAGTTCATGCTGCAGGCCGCGGATGGTGGCGAGCAGGTGCGTTTCCGGGCGCGGCGGTTGTGCGGGTCTGTTCTGCTGGTGCGGCATGACCTGTATCTCTCCCGAGCCGGGCGGCCCGGGTGGCGCCGCCGCGGAGGGTGTGAGGGCCGGCGTGGACTCCCCGACGGACTGGCTGCGGCGCGGCCGGCGCTGCCTCGTTGGCGCAGCTGCGGCTGCCCTCTCCCGACGCGGCTGCAGGTGCTGCTCGTCGCGCTGCGGCTGCTCGTCGGCAAGGTGCTGCTCCCCAGCCAGGGACTCTCCGGCCTCGCTGCTGGCCGAGCTAGGCACAAGGCTAGCCGCCAGGCTAGCAGGCAGGCTGGCCGGCAACGCCACGCGGTCCCGGAGCTCGGACACCTCCTGGCGCGCGGCCGCAAGCTGCTGCTCCAAGCTTGAAACCAGGTCCTCGTACTTGGCCTGCATGGACAGCAAAGGCACGTTTTGTGACTTCAATACGTAGTATTTCGCCTCACGCATTACACAATCGCAGACAGGTATGTCGTTTCCTCATTCAATTAAATAGTTTCGAGAACCATTTGATTGGACAATATTGGCAATCGCGAATACGTTTCACAGGGTGCACTTGTTGTCCAGCGCAGTCTTTACCTTAACGGCTTGGAGGTGCGCCTGCATCTTGGACACGCCCGCGTGCCGTTCCTGCAGCTGCTCCTCCGCACCTTGCAGGTGTTCCTGCAGCTGGCGCTCGGCCGACCGCCTCTCTGTCAGCTGTTTTTGCAGCTGCTGCACTTGCTGTTCCCGCTGCAGCTCCAGTGCTTGGAGCTGCTCCTGCAGCTTGCGCTCATCCACTCGCCGGAAGTCGAGCTCCTTCTGCAGCTGGTCGATGCGTTCCTGCAGCTGGCGCTCTCTTGCCGACGAGGAGCAGGGCAGGTCGCTCGAGGACTGCTGCTGCAGGTGCTGGTGCCGCTTGCGCACTATTGTCTCCAGCTCACGCACCTGCCGCTCCAGGTCCTGAGCCCGAGCCTGCGCACGCTCCCGCTCCACCGCCACCTCCTTCTCTAGCTGCGGTCGGATTTCTTTCTCCAGCGAAAGGCGGAGACTGCTCTCAAGTTCAGAGCGGAGCTGTTGAGCCACGGCATCCTACGTCAAAGAAAAACAATGATAATAATAAGCCGTGGAACACAAAACTTTTCTTGTGCTACTAAGAAACCAACTCGTTCTTTAAATAAACTATCATCCATATAATGGTACACCCAGAGAAATGTTTGTTAGGACTGCGCCTCTAATGCAAGGATCTCGCATAGGTTAGGCTTGTTTTTTCGGCAAGCATATTACAGCCAAACGAAGCATTTACAGATGGCCTCTCACAATTGAACCTTGATTTAAACATTGCCGAGGCTCGTATATCACATTTGGGAAAGACACATCGTTAAATGGTAACTCGTCTTTCCAGGGGTCCGTAAACGTATGACTTAACTTAACTGCCTTTAACGTTATTTTAAGAGTTAGAGTTGTAGCTTATAACTTTTATTGTAGTCATTTGGAAATAAGTTAGTTCGACTTATCTAACTTTTTCCAACAGTATGTACGGTACGGCTAATAATATCGGACATATTTCAAAATCGATAGCTTTAACTTTTAGTTCGAAATGTGTTTTGTTACGTTGAGTAACTAACATTCGTTCGTGTTATAATAAGTTACGGAGCCCTGCGTCTTTCCCCATTTGCCGAGTTCCCAAAAACTTGGTACATCCTCCGTGGGCCCCTGGACGACTACAGAGGCACCGCGCTGAAAAACTGGTTGCGCACCGGTTGGGTTTCGAACCCGAGCCGTCCCCGGCTTGCCATCCGGCCGCCAGGCAGACCACTGAACTACGAAGACGTGTGCCGAACACGGTGCCCTCTGTAGGGCCAGTCGGGCGAGCGTTGGTCTCGTTCTCGTTCCCCCCCCCCCCCCCGGTTAGATGGACTTGGGCAAATGGAACGGTTATTGTTTCGAATCACATATCTGTGCCGTAATTTGAGCTCCGCGTTTCATTTCAAAGTCTACAATACTCATAGTCATCACTGTGAAAAATAGTAGGAAGACTTAGAGGAAAATTTTATTCGACGCAAGTTGTAAAATTACAATTGGTAATCGTAAAAATGCATGAAGATTATATCGACTTAAAATCCTTTGGCGAGTAAACCCCCTACTACCAGCTAAGGGTATTACACCTTAATGCCAGGTGGACCTGGACCCGTTGAGGAAACGAAGCTCAAATTACGGAACAGACACGCACTCTCAGACATGTACTGTCAGTTCAGTTACTAAAGAATTCTCTCCAGCAGGAGTTACTGATCAATAAGTCAATTATTCTGTATAGTTTCGTTTTATAGATATACTAACAAAATGTAGAATAATTGTCACAGTAATGTAAGAAGGAATGCATATAACTGACAAAAACCGTCTGTGTAACTATTTCTGCGGCCAAAAGGAGGAACAGGGTGTTCTCCCCAACATAATGTGGATGATGCGTTTAGTAAAGAACGAGAAAAATCGACCTTGAGTGTGACTGACTAGGAGAGAAAGCAAGTTTGGCATGCGGCTGCGGATTCGTCGACATTTGTGTGTGTTTCGCAGACGCTTCTTAACATATTTTAGAAGTAAATTTAAATCAAAATTATAGAATTGAAAACGAACAAGCTGGTTCCAATCAACAGCCATTAAACGAAGAACGCTTGGCACAAAAAACTTGTCTCTCTTTTTATCCTTCTTACAGTGTACTTCATCATTCAGCCTCTAGTTAGGACGGAGCTAGGCCAATCCATTAGTGTCAGCGACACTGTTATCGGCAACGCCTTTTTTCGCGGCAGTAAAAAGTCTGTCGTCTCGGAGAAGCATCACGATAGCGGTTTGTGTGAAGGCACCTCGTCTTGGTTACTCTCCTCTCCGTCTTGGTTAGATCTCCTCCATAGCATATATAGGAAATACCATGGAACGACTAACAAGATCAAACACACACTAAAATTTCAATGGTGACAAAATTACCTGTTTAGCTTTAGAATCGTCCTCGCCCTGTCGTAGGGTCTCCTGTCAAAACAGATACACGAAAAAATGAATCAGCCACTTATAACGAGATGTCTCGTCCCGCTATCATTGGCGATATCCCACCATCCACGCGACATATCAGAAAGGTCAAGGTTCTCCACCCAAAGTAGAGCTGGAAAAGAAACTGTGTTAACAGAACACAACAGCAAACATTTATTGCGGGCAAAGAAAAAATAGGGAGAAGGAAAAGAGACGCGAAAGGGGGACAGATTGGTAGGGGGGGGGGTAATATCGTGGAGGTTTGTTTCGCTACATCTAGAGTGTGTGAATGGCAGATGTCATATTTATAATCGAGTAGTAAGAAAAGGGCAGAGTGTTGTTCAATAAATAGCACACATTTGGTCTTAATAATACTTTTATTCAGTCAGTGCGATCTGAAACAAAACAAGTAATATGCCATACGATCAAAATGTATTTATGTACAATTGACACACAGGACAAAAATATTATTTTTTTGAGATCGGGTTATTTACGCCAAAAATCGCACACATGTTTAAAACAAAAATAAAATAAAAACAATAGTCAAATTAAATGTTTTTATCAAACTACGCAATAACTATAACTTAAGAACTAGGAGGCAGTCTTTGGCGTGCGTGGCCCTCAAGCCTCAATGCACAGTCGGCGCGGGCTCCTAGATTTGACTCGCGCATACTATTCTGCCTTTTAAAAAAGATAATTATAATATAGAAAGGCACTCGAAATTCGTCGGAGATTCGTTTGCTTGCAGCAACACGTCCCCGGATCGGTGGAAGCGCGCGGCTCCGGGAATCTTCGCAGAAGATAGAGTGCTCCCGATACCATTCGACTCTTCGTAAAGTACAGGTAGTCGAGGTTTAGAGCTGGGCCACCTCCTGCGCCAGTGTGCGCACGGCCGCCAGGACCTCCTTGCCGGAGCTCAGGATGTGGCTAGAGGGGAGCACGAAACCGTGACGGCCCGTGTCCCGCAGCTCCACGGTAAAGGCGTATTTGAGCCCCGCCTGGCCCTTGGCCCAGTCGTCGGATCCACCTGAGGGGGAAAAAAAAGAAAAGTCAATTTTCACCGAAAATCCCTTGGTGTATGATGGATGCCCCATACCCCTAACGTGGCGTGGCTCACTCGACGGCACCTCCGAGCCTACAAGTTTTGGGTTCCTAGGTGGTCGACAAAGTCGCCGGACATGACAGCTTGGGTCAGACTCCTTACTAGACACAGACACACTCTAGATAACCGGGGATCTCCATGGTCATAGTAGACCGAACGCTCGATGGGCCAAAGGAGGAGATTGAACTCAATAGTCCTGTTTCTGGTACCGGAGACTTCGTTGCCCACCTGCTAAACACCCTGGCAATGCTAACTCAACGAAAAATGTTTCACTTTCGTCGACGATATCCCCGCAATGGTTAGAGTGATTCTTACAAATATGCAAAATGCTTGCAAAGAATAGGTTCGCATTGCAAACCACCTTCTTTGCAGCTTGCAAAGAATTTTAATGCATTACGAACAAGCTCTTCGCAAGCCTGCAAACAATTTTTCTGCAATGTTAGCACTTTGTTTGCAAGAAATGTGACAGCTCGAAATGTCTTTCTTTGCAATACGAACTAATTCTTTTTTTTTATTTATTTTTGTGAAAAAAATAGTTCATACAGATGTATTTAAAAATGCGAAAGCGAACCACGCACACAGAAATCAGTAAGCTATGAATAAAAAATTTCATAAGCTTACTGAGTGTAGTACCGAAACTAACAAACTTCAGACCACGCCCTGTTATACACTCGGGATTTACAGCAGAACAATTTTCGTCCTTTGTATTGCACAGAAATTATTTGCTTGCAAATCGATTATTGTTTGTAAGGCTAGGAAGGTTCTTACGAACAATCGGTTTGCATTACGAACTATGTGCTCGAAAGCTTACGAACAATTAGTTCGTAATGTTAGTTCGTAAGCTTGCGAACATTAGCTCGCAATACAACGCTTCAAAATCCTTCGTAAACTACGAAGGTTTTGATTTGCACTACGCACCAACTGTTCGTAAGCAATTTACCGAGGGGGTATTCACTACCATAAAACTTGTACAGAGTACTCGGTATTACATCGAAATACGTTGTATTACCGGGTATTACGCCGGTATTACAAGCAAAATTTTGCCATTTTATAGCATATTTTGTTATTTTTCGGTATTACATTACAAGTAATACCGCGCAATACCCAGGTGAGGTGTACAGGTTATTACTGGAGTGAATACCCCCTCGCAATTTACAGTACTGCAACTCCTTTTCTGATTCCTCTGAACTCTTTGCCAACTTTCTGTGTAACAGGGGTCTTGTCCAGCAGTGATTATTCCCATCACCCCGAAAAGCCCGTTCTTGGAACAAGAAAATGTTCTTGTGGTGACGCAAATTCACATGCCTCAACGCAAATGTTCTTGCTGACTGCAAGAACATTGCATTGAGACTAGTTTATTTTCTCGCTTCAAGAAACTGTTTTTTCGGGTGTAGTTTCAAACTTCAGGCCAGGCCGACAGCAGCAGCCTTTCTCTCATGCCTAGACCTTGCTGTAGACCTTCAGCGAAAAATTTTTGGAACGCAAGAGAAACACCCTGGTGCGCTCCCCTCCCCCACCCTACCCCCCTCTCCTCTCGTCCTGATAGTGTAGCTTTTGACGCGCCGCCACGACTCACAAAGTTTCCGTGTTTTACGTGACGTGGCTGACGTCCGTCATGCGGGTGGAAGCTGGGTGGAAGCGTCCTCCCATCCACGCCTTTCTCAGCGCTCACATGGCGCATGGCGCGTCCAAACGCACTCCTAAAAGGTTCCCTGTAAGGGCAGCGCATCTGACCGCATCTAACTTCCCAGGCTGACTCCAGGCTGAAGGAACACCTCCAGCACCGCCTCCAGGCACGCCTACCTGGAAGGGCCCAGCTCCAGCCACCCTCGCTTGGTCCTCGGCCCTCTCCCCATCAAAGTAACTCACTTATCGCCCAGGGTGGCGCGGCGGGGCGGGGCGCGCTCAAACAACCTCCCCTCACGACAAACCCGCAACAGCAGCAATCCCATTGCCTCATTGGCCGCAGCCTGCGGTGGGGTGGGGTGGGGTGGGGTCGGCCTGTTGCGCCCGCTGTCAAATTAATTGCTCGGCCGGAATAAACGTCACCAGCTCCTGTGGAGACGTGATGCTGGCGCCGGCCTGGCACGGGCCACGGGGCACGGCACGCCGCTGTTGTGTCGCGTTTGGTTTAATTTCCGTACCCATTATAAAGCGATAACGAGGGGAGAATAGGGAAAAATAGAGTTCCCCCCCACAACACAGTCACAAAGCCTCGCTCGAACCCCAGCCAGCTGGTGACGCGCTCCCATGGAGTCGATGATGATAGAACGTGGGATTTATCCACCAAGTCGAGGCGGACCGTCGATTTGACATGGAGTGCCAAACGGAGCTGGTGGACACGAGGGTAGTAAGTATTGCATCAGTCCACCATCCCCGGTGCCACAACGTGAGGCGAAGGAACGGATGCCCTCTTCACCCTCGTATCCAAAAAGATACCTCCTGTTCCTGACGGAGTTCACGTGGAGATAAGTCGTAGATGGGCGCCGTGCGGTTAGCTGGGCGCATTCACTACTTATCCCCGCGTGGTTTCCAGTTCTATTTGGGACTCGATGTCGAGTCGGCGGATAAAGCCCTCGGTTTATCATCAACACCTCAATGTGACAAAGCACCAGGCCGGTACACTTCGAAAAACAAAAGGTGCTAAGTCGGGCCTTTCCAAGGAGATTTTCAGTCCGGTATAAAGTCAGTGAAAAGCTAAAGGTGCTAAAAATTGGTTTCTGTGACAGTGTTTTGTAAAGGCGGCAAGTCTTTGGTGTCTTTTAAGGGGGGGGGGCTAACACCTTCGTTTTCCAGCGCAAACCCACCCGCCATGCCGGGCTGGCTTTGAGGGGCGCTAAGAGTAGTTGAGAGAAGACCGCTCAAGATCTCACCGGACGCAGGGTAGAGCAGCGCGGCGGAGGAGCCCACGGTGTAGCTGAGCCCGCTGGACGCGCGCATGGCGTTGGCCATCTTGGTGCCGACGCGCTGCAGGTCCTGGTGGTCCGGCGGCACGAAGCGGTCGTAGCCCCACGGGTACAGGACGTACTGGCCGTAGCTGTGGAAGCTGAGGTACGACTTGAGGCTCGCCTTGCGCGCCAGCACGAAGCTCTGGATGGCGCTAGTCTCCGGCTCCGAGAAGGGAGCCGAGCCGCGGTAGATCTCCTGGCAGGGCTGCGGGCCCGCGCCCTTGCCGCCCCACTTGTAGCCGAAGTTGCGATTCAGGTCGATGCCGTCGCAGCCGCCCCCTGCGAGGTCAAGGTCGTGGGCGGTGAGCACAGAGCATAGCGCCCCGCTGGCCGCGCGCAGCGGCGCATCCCCCACAGCGTCGCTACTCACCCCTGCGGCGGTTCTTCCTCCACATTCGGTCCCCGGCGTGGGAGAACTCGTACCCGTCGGGGTTGGCCAGCGGCAGGACGTACAGGTCCACGGCGTCGACCCAGGCACTGTGCGCGTCCCGGTTCTCGACGAGTTCGTTGATCATGTAGGAGACGGAGGCGGATGTGATCCACTCACGCGCGTGAATGCCTGCGAAGAAGGGGGCGCCGCGAATGAGACACTTGTCGACGCACAAGACTCGGGTCTAGCCAGAGGCTGTGGTGACACTCACCGCCGTCTACCCACATGGCGGGGCTGCCGGGCTTGCCCTTGATGTGCAGCACCTTGAGCGGCCTGCCCTCCACCGAGTTGCCGATGACCAGGGTCTCGCACACGGACGGGTACGTCTTGGCCAGGTAGTCCAGCCAGCCGTGCATGTCGGCGGCGCGGTGGTAGTGCTGCCAGGTCATGCGGTGGCCTGCGGAGGAAAGAGCGCGTCATAGGAGGAGGGGCCTAACTTCATCAGCGCGTTCGGGGCAACCGCTATACTGCCGCGCCGCCGTACATCGCAAACTCCATTTATGTGGTTTTGCAGTCATCGAAAGTTTGAGGGCGAGCTGCTGCGGTGCGGTTGCGACTCGCGCCCCTTCGCTTCCCTTCTTCTAACCAGCGCCGCCTCAGTGCGCCGGGCCCGGGCCGCCGCACACCGCAGCAAACAGGCAGCACACGTTACCCGCTTTGTTTACCTACCCTCGAGAAAGCAAACCAACCCTGTCCCATCCCCCGCTCTCCACACACACACACACACACACACACACACACACACACACAAACAGACAGAGACAGACAGAAAGACGCGCCCCAATAGGCTGCACAAGGTTTCCCGATACCAACGTTATGCTGAATACACAATAGGGCACTCGCAAACTTCGTATCCTCAGTGTTCCATTCAGCTGCATACGGCGTGGAGAGCATTTGTAGGGGCTGTTGGCATCCGGAGGGAAACCAGGCCTGCACACGGCGGCGCGCGGCGACGTGACAACCCGGCCCGCTCTATACTAATGCGAGAGTAGAAGCTGACTAAACATCAGTTCTCTTTACTGTTTGTTTATTTTTTTTCTTTCGTGATTTTCTTGTTTTTACTCTGATAATGTATGATCTGCTAAGAAAAGCACCTACCCTTCCTGCCGGTGAGCTCCAGCTCGTCGTCGGACAGGGCTGGGTTCTCGTCCAGGATGGCGCGCTGCATGTCCGGGATGACGACAGTGTAGGCGAGCTTGTTGTCGGCGAGGAGTTTGCTGACGTGGGGTTGGTTCTCCGAGTTCACCATCAGGTCCCACACGGTCGCGTTGCTGTACCATATTTGGGCCACTGCGTCCATACGCAAAGATATATGAAATATCAGACAGGGAACAATGACAAGCAGCAGAAAAAAAAGGAATTTTCTACATAATTTGACGAAATGAAAGCAATAAAGCAACACAGGCCAGGATGACACCATCTAGAACCCTTTTTTGATTCTTAAGGTCCGTTTTATGGCTAGTTTCATGGCTTTTATATACAACGTTACACGGGTCTCTCATTGAAGACACACGCACCTCCGTCATCCTCCACCCGCTGCAGGTTGGCGACGTCGCCCTCTGAGACTTGCACTCTCCAGAGCTGCGCGCCCTCGTACGACTTGACGGCCGGGGCCTCGGCCTTGGCCTCGGCCTTGTCCTCGGCCGTGGCGTTGTCGGCGGCCCTCCTCCAGCGGCGGCGCTGCAGCCGCAGGTCGCGCTCCCTCTCGACCCGCTGCTGCTCGCGCTCGCGCTCTTGCTGGCGCCGGTGCTGCTCGCGCTCCCGCCGGTTCTGCTCGTGCTCGCGCTCGCGGTCCGTGCGCTCGCGGTCGCGGCGCGTCTGGTCGCGCAGCTGCTCCCGCTGGCGGCGCAGGTCCTCCGTCTCGCCCTCCCGGTCGCGCTCGAGCTCGTCGCGCAGCTGCTGCCGCTCGTCGATGCCCTGGTCCTGCAGCGTCTGCCGGTGCAGCTGGCGGTCCGACTGCTCCACCTGGCGCTCCTGCAGCAGGTCGTCGCGCAGCCGCTGGTGGTCGTTGAGGCGCTCGTCGCGCTGCCACTGGTGGTCGTCCTGCTGGCGCTCGCGGTGCAGCTGCAGGTCCGACTGCAGGAAGTGCCGCTCCAGCATCAGGTCGTCGTGCAGGCGCTGGCGCTCCTCCAGGCCGCGCTGCTGCGCCCGCAGCCGCTCGTCCTGCCGCTCCTGCCACTCGCGCAGCCGGTCCACGTCGTCCTGGCCCCAGGGCGAGCACGAGCACGCGCCCAGCACGGCCAGCACGAGCGCCGAGCGCACGAGCGCGCGCGACAACCACCCTCGGCCGGCGGCCATGGTGCACTACAGGCCGCACCCGGGTGCCGGCGAGCTTTTATGCCCTCGCACAGCCCGCGCCGGACCGGTCCCACGCCGCCTGCCCGCCGGTCACTCCGCCGCGCCACGCCGCGCCGCGCCAACGCCGGCAAAAGGGACGGGGAGCTTGGCTTGGCCTTGGTGACACCCACCAGCAGGGACGACTCCGCTACTGCGACCTTGGTTCAATCGAAGGACGTTGGGCTCCATCACCCGTACACGTGGGCCCTTGAGCGGTGATGGGGACGGCGTTGAGGGCCGGTCCTGTCGAAGGGCCCCGTGTGTTGACTTTGGTCAGGGAAGTGCCGTTCCGAGACGGTGCGGTGTGGCGTGGCGTGGTCACGCCGCCCGGTTCTCTCTTCTTCTCATTAATTTGCAGGACTTACGCCCCGCGGCGCTGAGCCCGCCACACCAGCCGGACCAGACAGCCCGGCGGCTCGGCCTGTCCCCCCGGCGACCCCTCCCCTCCTGCAATAACCATCCGAGTGACAAACTGTTATTACGAATATACTTACGTTTCGACAACAGGTTCCTCTTCGTTGTGCCGGCTAGAGGGCGGGGTAGCGGGTACGGCGAGGCCCCTGGTAACAAACACCAGCACGGCCAAGAAGAACGCAATGGTGGCCATAAGCCGGTCGCGCTGGACCAGGGCCCATCCCGCAAAATAACATGCAAAAAAGGGCGGAAAATTTTCGTCCGGCGACGTCCAGCTCGTGCTGGGGTCGAGACGACCGCCAGCCCGCAGCACCGGCGGCTGCGAGACAGTTTGTAAGAACCGGCGTCAAACGGCAAGAATAATAAACGACTTGCAGGTTGGGAAGTCGGGCCACGGAAAAGAAGGGAGAAACTCTCGCAAAAAGGAACATTGGCGCGTTGGTGGTTCTGCGCTGGCACTATGTGTATGTTTAAACGGAACGCCTTGGACCCTCCAGGAGGTCGCGTTTGCTCCGCGTTTGCTTTAGGTCTAGAGACACAGACTCCTCAGGCGGGTATACTGCGAAGTAGAACTACACCACTCCCAACCCCCTTTCAGAGTACCAGCAGAATGCTCCTCCTCGCCGTCAGAAGAGGGGGTGGGGGAAGGGGGACAATCACAAATAATACTGTGGGCTTTGACACACTGTCATTGTTCCCTCTGTTCTCTGCTAGTATTCTCTCTGCCAGTGTTCTCTCTACCAGTATTATCTCCGTCTCTCTCTCTC